GAACTCCTGTGCATCTACGGGTGTGACCCAAAAAGCAAAAAAAAAAAAAAAAAAAGAATAAGATAGCAGAGAAAGTTAAAGATCTTGGAAGAAATGAGTAGTGAAGCACTTTCATTTGCTCACTGCCTACCCATTCTGCCAGAAGCAAAGCACTCATTTGTTCGACAGGCACCTACAGACCACAGAGCAGTGACCCACTTACCCTCCAATCCCTGAGGAAGGCCCAAAGGTCAGCCCTGGGCTCTGGACAGTCTTCTGGGGTCCTGCAGAGCATGAGCATTTAAGGAACCCAGCCAAGTATACTCCCACAGGAGTATCATAGTTCCCTAACCAGGCTCAGGGCTTTCACCTTCACGCTCCAAGGACCCCACCTGCACGGTCCAAGGGCGGGAGAGGAGGGGAAGCCACGTGACCCATCACCAAGCCTGAGCAGAGTTCTCCATATCCCTCCCGCCTTCCCTGGGAGATAGGCCAGACTCCTACCACTATATAGATAAGGGAAACAATCCACAAAGATTAAGTACCCAGCAGAAAGTTGGGGTTCTAGAGCTTCACAGCAACGAGAGATTGCACACATGACCACTTACTCTGGAAAATACCCTGGCACTTTGAACAAGTGTTTTATGTGATAAGAACCATACTTATCATAACAAAGACACAGATTGGGGTTCTATGGGAAGCTAACAGGAAATACAATATCTCGGAGTGGCTGGCCATTTCAGGCATGGAAAAGTCCTGCATATTTGATACTTAAGCAGACATCTAAACAAAGAGAAGTAGCTAGTCATGAATATAATAAAGAGAAATCTACCCACTGTTGAAAACTTCAACACTTGATAATGATTTAAAGAGAGAACAAAGAAAATACTTCAAATTTGATGCCCAGAGTGACAGCACAGTGGGGAGGGTGCTTGCCTTGCATGAGGCTGACGTGGGTTCGATCCCCGGCATCCCACAGGGTCCCCCAAGCACTGCCAGGAGTGATTCCTAAACACAGAACTAGAAGTAAGCCCTAAGCTCCCCTGATCATTGCCTGGTATGATCCAAAAAGCCTAAATAAATACAATTTTTAAAAAAGAAAACATTACAAATTTAAGAAAACAAAGCCCCGAGAACCTGCAGCAGGGTGGTAAGGGTCTCTGGGAGGGCACCGATAGTTCTGCTCTGAGGGGAAGGCAGCAGATTTCTGGCAAGGCAGTGGGGAGTGAGGACAGACTCAGAACGGGGGTGCAGGGGAGGTCTAGAGGATGGTCTAAGGTACCCCAAGGGGGGCTGGAGCGATAGCAAATAAATAAATAAATAAATAAAGTACTCCAAGGGCTCTCCTAAAATGTACCTAATCAAAATTGCTTTTTCTCAGAAGGAGCTGGAGAATAAACTTTTATTTTGGGTTTTTTTTTTTTTTGGCTTTTTGGGTCACACCCGGCGACACACAGGGGCTACTCCTGTACTCCTGGCACTGCACTCAGGTGGTGCTCAGGGGACCATATGGGATGCTAGGAATCGAACCCGGGTCGGCCGCGTGCAAGGCAAACGCTCTACCTGCTGTTATATTGCTCCAGACCTAAACTTTTATTTAGGGGGGAAAAAATGAGCTAGTTCTCTGAATTACTGTCCTCCAGGCCCTTGACAGACACTCCAGAGTAAAGAAGGAACAGTAACCCAATTAGTAATATTTTCCCTTCCTCTGAAACTTCCCAATTACTCCCTCCATCTATTGTAAATTATCTGCATTCAAAATTTTCCCCAAGAGCCAGGGAGAGTGCTGAGAAGGGCAGAAAGCCAAACTTGCCCACTGGAACCTCAAGTTCAAGCGATCCTGTGCTCCACACACCCCCAGTTCCACCAGGTCGCACCGCAAATCAATGACCAAAAACCTTTTCTCAAGATGACCAATTTTTTAAACAACAGCATCAACACCAGAGCAAGTTATAATTAATAGAAAGTCAAGGATCCTAATCCAAATCAAACAATACCTCTCAAGCACCCTCCTGCAAATCCTCTTAACTGTGAATACAATAAACCAAGGCAAGAAGAATCATGACATTCAAGAGACCCTGGAGAGAAAAGAGACAATCTGAGAACTGAGAACCCCCAATCATGCTCAAAGACAGCCTTTGAAAATGCTTGTCCCTGGAGGTGGTAGGCAGAAGGGCTTTTAAGCCCAGGAGCCTATTAAAAAATAAGAATAATAATAATATATATATCCCATTAACCAGCAGACGGAACTTTCCAGATATAAAGTTACAGCCTTTAAGCAGAAACATCAGTGAGACAGTGCTAAGTGGTAGCACACAAGCAGATACACAGAAGGTCTGAGTTGTTCAATCTCAGGCACCACATCACCCCTCTCCCCAGCACTGATGGGAATGGCCCTGGTGGGTCCTGAGCAGGAACCTCATCAGAAAGAGCATCTCGGGGAGAGGGCCCGTCCGCCTCCCTTGAGCACTGCTGGGGGGACTTCGATCACTCTGATCTAATCTGAGCCCATAGAGAATTTTCTCTATCTGAAATCTTTCCTCCAACTCAGAAAAATGTGGAAGAACCCACCCTGCTGCAGAGGATCATAGAAAAAGCATGAGAAGGGGCCAGAGAGAGAGTACAGCAGCTAAGGTTCTCACCTTGCATGTGGCCAATCTGGGTTGGATTTCCAGCACTCCACACAGTCCCCTGAGCACTTACCTGGAGTTACTCCTGAGCACAGAGCCAGGAATAAGCTCTGAGCACTGCAGCGTATGGCCCCAACCTTCCCTCTTCCACCAAAAATGCAGAATAATATTGGCAGAACAAAGACCAACCCCTGTGTAACAGCCAGCAAGGAATAAAGATATCTTGGCTCTAAAACCACCACCTTATACAAGATGAATGGACTTGGGAGCAATTCTCCCGCAGAATCTTCAAGATGTTCCCTGCCAACATCTTGATTTCAGTTTTGTAAGATCCTAAACAGGTCCTACCTTCAAACTCGGGTCTCCAACCTACACAGCAGTCTGTTAATAAATCTATGTGTTGTTTTGAGACCCAATGTTTGTGGCAGCTTGCTACAGCAACAAGACACACACACACAAAGAACCTAGTTTCCCTGTAAGCAAAAGGAGGGTGAACGATAAAGTACCCAGTCAGTCCTCAAGTCCCAGAGCCTCCTGAACACCCATGAAGGTCTTTCACACGCCCCATTTCCTCTAAAGCTCCCCAGTTCTGGCCTGCCCCAAAGAGGAATCCATGCCTCAAGTGGGTGGGCTCTCACGACTATTTATTTGACAGGCAACTCCAGCACATCAAAAAACAATGCTCCCAGATTCTGCAGTCTGCAGAACTGACCTAGCCCACAGCAGGGCCCGAGCCACTTGCTCCAGTCCCCATTCCTTCCACCCTAAGAGGTTTCCCAGCATTCAGCCCCACTTCCTTCCTTCCACGAGCCGCACCCCACCCCCTCCATCCAGTTAGTCATCAAGGACTGTGGATGCCCTCTCTCCCCTTTCTCTGGAATCATCTTCCTCTTTCAGTTTCCACCACTGGCCAGTGTGGGCCTTTAGAACCTCCTGCCTGACTAGATCTGTCCACCATTTTCCCGAGCAACGTGACAAGGGGCTCATCTAGGCAGTGGCAAAACAGGGATGAAAAGGGACAGACTCCAGCATCCCCATCCCCCGCCCCACAGCAGAAGAGTAAGGGCCTAGCTGGCCGGCCTTCTCTGGGGCTGATCCGCCTGCAGACTCAGGGGATCTCTCCAGCGCTGGCATTTCACTACCTCCAAGCAGGCCACATGCCAAACGAGCTCAATTGCTCCAGCACAGCACTCTCTCCGAGTGCCTCAGCACCTGCACGTTCTCATTCCATCATCATCACCTGAGCCTCCTTCCAGCTGAAACCCCACAACTCAGCCCACAGCTGCTTAGTCTACCCCGCCACAAAGCACCATGGCCCTGAATTTCGCCCACTTGTCCTTTTTTAGGATTCAACTGATTCATCGCTTACTCCACCAGGCTGCTCCGAGCCAATTCATGGAAACCGTTGGTTCCTCCTAGGGGAGAGACACCCCCCCATAACTGTGCCTGTCCTTGGGGGCGTCCAGGGGAGGGTGACAAGTGGGTGAGTAACGGGGGTAGGGGGGTGTCCTAAGCAACTTTAGACCACTGCAGTCAACCCAAAAAAGGGCTTGCAGGGCTGGCTCACTGGACTAAGCGCAGGTTCTGCAGGCAAGAGGTCGGGGTTCCATCCCTGCCAACGCAGGGTTCTCGGTGAGCAGCGGCAGGAGGGACCCCCACCCCTACACCCGGCATGGGGGAGCCAGAAGCATTCTCGAAGTCCACCGGCTGTAGCTTCAAACCTCCAGGACCCCCCACCCACCCACCCACCCAAATGACAAGGCTGCAGATGATCCCGCGCACTGCGGGGAGGGCTGGATTTGCGCTGGGGTGAAGCGGAGTCTGGGGGGCGAGTAAGCCCCAGTACGTGGGCTCAGCAGCCGAAACTCTGCAGGCGGCTCCTACTGCAGCCCTCCGCCGCCTGCTGCCACCCCCCCTCGCAGCCGGACGGCGACTTCCCAGGTAGCTGGCCCCGAGCTCCCGCCCGCGGCTCCTCGCCGCCCACCGCCCCAGCCGCAAGCCCGCCGCCCGCCCACCCACCGCGCGGCGCGTTCCTGGACGCCAAAGCCCCCAGACCTGCCGCGGCCACTGCGGGCTGCCCCCCTCCCGCCCCCCTTTTTTCCTTTGGCAAATTCCGTGCGGTTCAAAGCCGGGAGGGGGGAGAGCACACAACCCAAAGCACATAAGTGACGAACCGGAGAACTCGGGGCCGTGACTCATAAGCCGGGGATCGCGGGTTTGCGGAGGCCGGCCCCCGGCAGGCTACAGGCTGCTCGCCCGGGGGTCGCGGAGGCCGGCGGGGCCCCGAGTCCACCCCGGCCGCTCGGTCCGCGCCGGGGAGGGTCGGGGAGGGTGCGGGGGTGGGGGGGAGAAGGTCCGGAGGCTCCGCCCGCCGCCCCCGCCCCTACTCACATTTGACTGACCAGCTTCTGCCGGAAAGCGGCGCTCCGCCAATCGGCCTCCTGCCCCGAAACGTCCATCCCGGTGTCCGAGGCCCCGCTACCCGCCACCCACCCGGCCTCCGCTCTCGCTGCCGCAGCCGCTGCCGCCGCCGCCGCCGCCGCCTGAACCGCAGCGCCAGGCCCAAACCCGGAAGCGGTCGGCGGGGCCCTCGGCCGCACCGGAAGCGGGATCGGGAATTGTGGGAAATGGAGTCGCGCGCGTGGGCTTGTGGGAAATGGAGTTCCTCGACCGCCGCGGGCGAGGGGGGGGGCTCTTTTTCGGAGGCTCCCGGGTCCTGCTCGGTAAGGCAGCCGAATGACTCGATTGCGCCTGGGGTAGAGAAGGTCCGTGGCGGTGCCGGGGTCCCGGTGCTGCCCTCAGCAGATCGGTACCTAATCGCTGATATTTCCTGAAACTTGGTTTAAGCAAATTTTGGTAATCTGCACCCTGGGGATGGGGAGATGCCTCCCTAAATTGCCAGGACTCTTCAGTAAACGATGTAGAGATTGCTAATTTATCAAGTATTTTTCAGCGTCCAGCTTTCCTTCGATTTCCTCATGGCCTGGTTTCTAAAGAGTGACACATAGGGGCCGGGGAGATAGCTCCGTGATCAAAGTTGCATGCAAAGCCCCAGGTCCTGAGTTGGAATCCCCGTTCCATAGGCACTCCTACCTCTTTGATCCTGGAAATCCCTGAACACTCTGGGATGGCTCTCTTGGTCCCAGGTACCACAAACTCTGAGCAACACTACATTTTTGAGCACTACTAGCATTGAACTGAGTACTGCTTGGGAACCTTCCCCAACGGTGGGGGGTGGGGGGGACAGGAGTAACCAACTTTTCCCTCTATATAGAGTACCTAGAATAATGCTTGACATGTAGTATCAACTGAACCTGTATTTGTCAAAAAAAATAAAGGAGTAAGCAAAAAGGGAGGGAGGGAGGGAGGGAGGGATAGAGAAAGAAGGGGGGGGTTGCCTGCCATAGAGGCAGGGGTGGAGGGGAGGGAAACTTGGATGGGGACATTAGTGGCGGGAAATGTACACTGGAGAAGGGACAGATGGTGATTTATTGTAAGACTGAAACCTAGTCATGAACAACTTTGTAACTATGTGTCTCCTGGTGATTCAATTTTTTAAAAGAAGGGAAAAAAGAAAGGAGGGAGTAAGGGAAAAGAAGAAAAATTGTCAAAATTCTACTTAGATACAGACATTACTACTGATCTTTCATTAAACAGAGCAGAAGGTGTAGGTTATAGAAGGGATGATAACTTTATAAAAAAAATAAAATTAAAAAAGCATGTAAGGTTTGCTCTTTAAGCCCATGTTCTCCTTTGAACATGTGTCTCACTTGTGTATCTATATTTCTTTGCTTGATTATTTTCACTCTGGAGAAGCCTGTGTTCTCTCTTGAACACATTTCCTTTCCTCTCCTCTCACATATTTCTAAGCAAGTTCCATTCATTAAAAACTACCTTGTTTCATTAAAAGTCAAAAATAAATAATAAAGATGGAGGAGGTTTTGGATTTGGTATTTATTTAAAACATACTTATGTGTGAAGATAACTCCGTAAGACTTCTACCTTACCACTAGCATATGTGAAATGTAGAAGATTAACTATTCTAGGGTCAGAGAGATAGTACAGCAGATAGAGTGTTTGCCTTGCATGAGGCAGACCTGGGTTCAATCCCCCACATTCCACGTGGTCCCTCAAGCACCACCAGGAGTAATTCCCGAGTGCAGAGCAAGGAGTAACCCCTGAGCTTCACCAGGTATGACCCTAAGTAAATAAATAAATAAATAAACTAACAAGTTCTGCACCTCAAAGGAAATGATGATCGGAATACAAACACAGCCCACAGACTTGGAGAAATTATTTGCTCACCACTCATCTGACAAAGGGTTAATATCCAAGACATGTAAAGCAGTAGTAGAACCCTACAAGAAAAAGAATCCAATCCTATCTAAAATGGAGAGGAGAAATTTGTATTTCAAAGAAGAAATACAAATGGCAAAAAAAAAAAAAACATAAAGAATGCTCTATATCATTAATCATCAGGGAAATGCAAATCAAAACAATGAGATATCACTTCACACCATAGGGACTATGCATCTTTTTGATGCATTCACACAATGAATGCATCAAAAAGAACAACAACAACCAGTGTTGGTGAGGATGTGGAGAAAAAGGGACCCTGATTCATTGCTGGTGGGAATGTCAACTAGTCTAGCCTTTTTGGAAGACATTATGGACATTCCTCAAAAAACTTCAAAATTAACCTTCCATATGATGGAGCAATTCCACTCTTGGGAATATACCTCAAGGGCCCAAAAGCACAAATTATTTTAAAAAATCTGTGTTCCTATACTTATTGCAGCGCTATCTACAATAACCAAAATATGAAAACAATCCAAATGCCCATGAACAGATGACAAGATAAGTAAAGTACATATACACAGTGGAATACTATGCAACCTTCAAAAAATGAGGTCATGCAATCTGCTGCAATATGGGTGGATCTAGAGAGTATCCTGTTGTGTGAAATCAGCCAGAGGGAAAGGAATAGACCCAGAATTATCTCTCTCATATGTGAGATATAAAGAAACTTGCTAGGGGAATATCAAATGCCCAATGGCAATAGAAACAAAGAGCTGAGAATTGATCTTCAGTAGGAAGCTTGGCACTGGGGCAGGAGTGAGGGGGATAAGTTGGGGAAGGGAACACCAAGACAATGGGGAAGGAGGGAAAGTGCCTGCCACAGACAGGCTGGGGGGTGGGAGGGAAACTGGGGACACTGGTGGAGGGGAGCAGGCACTGGTGAAGGGATAGGTTCTGGAGCAATATACTCCTGAAACTCAATCATAAGTGTCTTTATAACTTGGTGATTCATGGTGTTTCAATTAAAAAAAAAGGAAAAAAGAAGATATGTGGGGCCAGTGAGGTAAGTCAGCAGGTAAGGTGTTTGCCTTGTACATGGCTGATCCGAGTTTAATTCCCAGCATCTCACATGGTCCCCTGAGCCCATCAAAAAATGATCCCGAATGTAGACCAGGAATAAGCCCTAAGCATTCCAGAAGTGGCACTCAAGATTAAAAATAAAATAAAAATATTTATACCACGTTCTTCCAATTACATTGGAAAGTCATGTAAAACACACAAAAAAAGGTGACCATATAGACATTTCAATGTCTCTGTGTTAGACTTTGTACCAATGGCTATAATTTGCAGAGGTTGGCCATGAAGAACCTAAACCAAGTTGGTTAAGTTTTAGGCATGGTGAGATGGAGCAATAGTACAGTGGGTAGGTTATTTGTCTTGGCTTATAGGCGACCCAGGTGAATTCCCCCGGCATTCCATATGGTTCCCTGAGCCTGCCAGGAGTGATCTCTTGAGTGCAGAGCCAGGAGTAAGCCCTGAGCACTGCCAGGTGTGGCCAAAAACAGAAAAAGAAAATATTTTAGGCACAGGATTTTCTGTTTGGCCCAACCACAAGGGCCTGTTGGTATAGAAGATAGTCTAGATCATGGCTAGAGGATAGACGTTGGCACAGACTCTCTAGGTGGAGGTAGACAGAGCCAGCAGCAGGACACCAGAGGACTTGAAATAGAGAGGGTCACAGATCTCCTGACCTTAGGGGAGAAAGGATCACCTCAGGATGTTTGATCTTGAAGACAGGTGGGGGGAGGTTGACATTTTAGTCTGTTGCACCAGGTCTATCTCTGCTCAGCCAGGCTGAAGCTGATGGCTCTAAAACCAACAAGACAATGGCTTTTGTTTAACTGTGAAGCACCCCGGGGGAGCAAAGGGAAGGAAACATCTGGAGTCTACAGTCCCAGCTTGTTCCAGTCTTGTTCACAAATTGCTAGAAACAACAGCATGAGATAATGGCTGACTGCACCCTCATTTCTATAGGGCATTTGTAGACTAAGAGATTCAAATAACCTCCAGTCTTTCCAACTTCCCAAGCACAGATAATGCTCAGTACAGAAACTTAGATCAAGGGATTGCTTTAAAATTATGAATAGTGTTTCTCCTTTATCAATAAACTATGTTCTTTAGAAACCAAAAATTAACCTCTTTTTGTGAAGGGAAATGTTAGAAATTTAAAAAAAAATGTCTTTTTCTCTGCAGGTAATGTAGTCCAGGGATGAAATACATACCTTATATGGTTAAGGCCCGGGATTTTGATCCTGATACCACAAAATAACACCACCAAAAGAACAATTATGTATTCATTTTGTGCATTTACCTATATAACTCAAAATTTTTGGTCTCTCAGGTCAGCCTCTAGAGCAATTTGCTGACTGTTCTCCTGGTCCAGGTGACCTCCAAGCCCGAGTCAAAGTAGCCCCAGGTTATAGCCCACAACAATTCCTCCCATTTCTCTTCCAGTTACATAGGGGCCTTCTGATTGCTCAGTGGTAAAACACCTGCCTTGAAAGCACAAGACCTTTGAGACCAAGAGTTCAATGCTCAGCACTGTTTCACATGCCCAATCCCAGCGGGTCTGCTATTTAGGATCCCTGGTGCCACAAAACAAGTTTGCAACCTCCTGTGAATCAGAACCAAGTGCATAACACCACAACTGTAAAAAAGTCTTTGAGGGCAGCCGGGGGTGGGGGGTGGGGGCCAACTGCTCTCCCCCAGCCAGGGTGGCCCGAGCCCTGGGGCAGGCCGCTGAGGAAGTGAGGGCCAAGCAGGTTGATAGATCAGATGCCATTTATTCCATTCTCCCCACGCGCCTGCCCCAGTCTCACTGACACTCCCATTCTGGTCTCACACTGCCTCTCATTCCCATCTCCTTCTGTCTGTCCCGCTCTTCCGTGCTCCATCTCGCAGTTTGGGCTCTCTCTCTCTCGTTCTCTCTCTCTCTTTCTCTCTCCCCTCTTCTCTCTCTCTCTCTCTCTCCCCTCTTCTCTCTCTCTCTCTCCTCTCTCTCTCTCTCTCTCTCCACGTGCCTGCTCCTGATTCTTCTGCATTCTTCTCTCTCTCTCTTCTGCATTCTTCTCTCTCTCTCTCCCCCTTGCTAGCCTCTCCGAGGTCCATCTTGCGGCCCACCCGCGCTCTCTCCTCTCCTGCTCTCTTCCCTCTCCAACAACTCCCGTGCAGTC